TAAAATTACGAATTAATGACTCTAAAATGATCTGTGAACATTGGAGAACATTTTTATATAATTAAATTGAAGTTTGGTGATTAAAAATGATAATGTTAAAACTGACCCGAGGAAGAAGATGATGAACAGTGGCCGAAAATCGATTATTTACTTACTAAAAATCGATTAGAATTTTATTCAGATCAGTGGTTCGAAGTCATTACCATTTAATCGATTATTTATGTTGTAAAAATCGATTATTATGAATTAATTGATTATTTAAATTGTAGAAATCGATTATTATGAATTAATTGATTATTTAAATTGTAAAAATCGATTATTATGAATTAATGGATTATTTAAAGTGTAAAAAATTGATTTTTTATGAATTAATCGATTATGTATATTTTAAAAATCGATTAACATTAATTAATGGATTATTTAAATTGTAAAAATCGATTATTATGAATTAATTGATTATTTAAATTGTAAAAATCGATTATTATGAATTGATGGATTATTTAAATTATATAAATCGATTTTTTTTGAATTAATCGATTATTTATATGGTAAAAATCGATTAAAATTAATTAATTGATTATTTAAATTGTAAAAATAGATTATAATGAATTAATTGATTATTTAAATTGTAAAAATCGGTTATTATGAATTAATGGATTATTTAAAATTTTATAAATCAATTTTTTTTATAAATTAAATGATTATTTTAAATTATTTTTCTCAAGTCCAGATCCTGTTCCGAAAATATTCGGAAAATATATACTCTAAAATCCACCAATTGATTATGATCATTGGAAAAATGATTTACCATAATAAAAATGATGTTTTTAACAAATAAAAATGTTATGTGATGCATGACGGTAAGTTAGAGTGTTAACACCCAAAGCTAGGTCGCTAATTATTATTGAATATTATGTTGATTGATGATTATGGTAATCATTATTGATTGATTATTATGATTTTTGAATCTTGATGAATATTCTGATTAAAAATGATAATTGTGAATGATTAAATCATAATGAATATATTGATGATTGTGAAAATAAAATGTATTGTTAAGGGTATCTAGAAGACCTCTAAGATATACCCATATTAATGTTGATTTGAAAGTTATCTAGAAGACCTCTAAGATATACCTATTTAAGTTAGGCCTTGCGGGTATGAACCCCGGTGGCTAGGGTTAAAACGTACGTACGGGATCCAAGAACCAAACTTGAGTACCTACTCGTTTGGGGGTACCACCCACCCAACAGTGAACACTATGCTGTCGGTTTTTGGTTGGCCTTTAGTGAAGGTAAGTTTAAGATTTTCAAAACCCTTTTTGTAACGCCCCGAAACCTGGCCCAAAAGAATTAATTAAATTGTTAGAGCAATTGATTACGAATTGGGCCCAATAAGGGGTTAAAATTATAATTTGGATTTTAAGCCCAACATTTATATCATCTCGTAGGAAATATTTTTGTGATCGCGTCGGTTCAGACGGCTCGCGAATCGGAGTTATGGAACTCAAGTTATGACCATTTAATCAGGTATTTTGGGTCCGAAGCCCAATCCTTTTTGGAATGGGACCATTAAATAAACCTAAACCACACAAACCTTATCTTATCTTCTCCTTCTTCGATTCTACTCTTCGTCCGCTCATCTTCTTTCCCGTTCTCCTTCTTCTTTCTTCTTCTTCTTCCTTCTTCTTCTCCTTCTTCTTCTTCTTCGCCGATCGATCGCCGCCGGAAGTTCCCCAGCCGGTCGTTCGCCGTCCAATTGCAGCAGCCAGCGCCGGTCATCCCTGCCGTTCGACCACGCCGGCGTCGCGCAAGCCAAAGCCTCGCTGCCGCCAGTCGCTGCCCAGCGTCGCCTTCCCAGCCGGTCGTCGCCGTCCAATTGGAGCAGCCAGCCGCCGCCGTCGCCCTTCCCCAGCCGGTCCCCGCCGCTGCTTCCTTCGCCAGTAGCCGCCGCCATCATCGCCGACGGGTGCAGCGCCGCCACGCCAAACGGAGGACGTCGCCAAACGCCGGACGCCGCTGTTTCGCCCTCGCCGGAATCGAGCGCCGCCGTCGCCCTTAGCACAGCGGCCATCCTCGCCGTCGAGTGCAACGCCGCTGTTCCGCCTTCGTCGGTCGTCCGCCGCCGTCGATTGCAGCGCCGCCAGTCGCTGCTCACCCCCGTCGAGCTGCCGCTACGCCACTGTCACCGGCGTCCGTCACCGTCGCCGCATCCGGCCGCTGCCCCGAGTTGATATCGCCGGCAGATTAACCTCCACGCCGGATTGATTGGTCGATTTCATATTTTGACTCGATTTGACCCGTTCGGTTGATTTCGTTGATTTGTCTTCCGTTCGAGCTATTGATTTGATTTCGGCGTAATCCAGGTCCGTACTATGAAGTTAATAGCATTTAGAATAGATTTAATGGTTTGGATCGTTATATGTGTTTATGCTATAATTTGGCTAAACTGGTTAATTGAATTAAATTGATTGTTGAATTGAATTGTTGAGGATTGTGAATTGACTGAACAGGTTTGACTTTGACTTGGGTTAGGTCCTGTTTGACTTGGACTTTGACTGGATATTCTGTTGTCGTAGGTTTAACTGGATGGTTAAATCCAAGACTTTAATGAATTAGTTAAGTTAATTAATTAATTCTAATCGGTGATTAAGGTCAATTGGTTTATTGTGTTGAACATAGAAACTGGCCATTGCTCGGGCGGCTGCAGGGCCTGGTCAGTGAGGTTAAGACGTGCGCACGAGGGTCTGCGATCTTGGGTTTGAGGCCATCGCCCGAGGGATCCTACCTCCACCGAATTGAGGCCATCTTCGGTATTACGGATTGAGGCTATCTCCGTCATAGGCAATAAATGTTAAGTGGTTTGACTTTGGTGAAAGTCTAAATTGGTTTGACCGGTGGTCAAAGAGTT